ATTGTGGCTGGGATGGAGTTAGTTTCCTTCATAGTAGCTAGTGTGGGCTGAGTTTTGGATTTGTGCTGGAAACAGTGTTGATAAAGCACAGGTGTTTTGCTTTGCTTGTGTGTGCAGCTTTTGCTTTACCTATTAAACTGTCTTTATCTCAACCCAGGAGTTTTCTCACTTTGCTTAATTCTCTCCCCAAGCCCACTTGGGGCAAAGTGAGCAAGTGGCTGTGTGGCACTTAGTTGCTGGCTGGGGTTAAACCATGACAGGCATTTATCCTGATGAATCAAACTTGGCAGTGGCAATAGATAAGCCTTTTGAGCATTTGAGTGAAATTGTCCACAGCTGCTAACTTCTGCCAGAAGTAGATATTTTTAACAGCTGCTGCTAGATTTGGAGAAGTCAGAGTGTAATGGAGCTGTGCAAGACTTGCAGGTTGCCACCCTTGGAAGCAGTGTGGTGCTTCTGAGCTGAGCATCAACCCCTCCACCTGCCTGTGGCACCATTTGCCTGTGATGTGGGGCAGCCCAGGCTGCCTGGCACTCAGCAAGGAATAGATGGCTTCCCCAGGCACGGGAGGGCAAGGATCTGCCCAGAGGGGAGAGTTGGCAGGTCCTGCCTCTGCTCACCTCTGATTTCTCATCAGCGCTGGCAAACAAAAGGAGTCTTTTTGAAAGCTGACCTTGCACCCAGCACTGTGCAATTACTGACTTGCTTGGTGTGCTTTATGGTGCTTTTGAGATTTGTTAGCTTAACAAGTAACTTCCAAAATATTTAATGACAAGAGAAGTGTGGTTTTACAGGAATGCAAACTAACTGGAAACACTAGTAGTTGTCGCTACAGGAACAAAACCAGTTAACTAGTACACAAAGCTCTTCAAAGGTCATGAAGATCTCCAAGAGGCAAAACTGCCATGATAGCATTTCAAATCATGGATTTATAGCTGATAAATCATTATAATTTATGAAAGGAGCTATCTAACTATCTTCTGGGCATCTGGGGAAGCAAAGGTTATGCAAGTAATTAGGAATACTGTGCTGTGAGCTGCAGGTTCTTCTTCCCTGGACAGGTTTGTGCCATCTTTGACAAAGGGGAGTACAAACACTCACTATTCCATAATTTTACCCAGTTATCTAGAAACTGCCTAAATCTTTTGGGCTGGATCCCAGACTCTTCTTAGGCCAAGCAGTGACTAAGTTTGATGGACCTAAGGAGCTTGCATTTAAGACTGGACGATTCTCAGCATTATGACATGCTTGAGATGATCCTGCTCAGGCAGGAGAATTGTTGTGTGGTTGCTGAATGAAAGCACAGGGATCTTCCAAGAGAAGCTGTCTGTGTCTTTCCTGTACTTAGTTTCCTCCACAGCAGGCCCTGCTTTGCTTGAAAAATGCATGCTTCCCTCCTGCAGCTTTCATGGCCTGCCCGTTGCTTCAAGCAGAAGAGGGAAATGTGTCTGAGGCTAAGGAGAGCGGTGGCAAATCTGGGGTAAGGAGAACAGACTGGATGTTACAACATCACGTTGTGGGGATGAACGTTTGAGGGTAGGGGCTGGTCCTTAAAGCTAAGGCAACAGAAAGTGCCTTTGCTGGCTCACAAACCCCGCCGCGGCTGCCTGGAGGTTTCTGGGTGTGGAAGTGCAAGTCCTGGCCTGTGTGTCAAGGGGACAGGGAGGCTGTCACGGGAAGATGGATCGGAGCAGACGTGCTCGGGCGTAGGCGTACATCACTCAGCCATCTGAGCAGCACTGGGGCTTGCACGGATGTGGCTTCTTCACGTACCAAGATACACCTCTTTTCATCCTCTTCCTCCACCACCAATACCTTATTTGTTTTGTTTTGTTTTGTTTTTAGTTTTTTCGCTTCCAGTCTTTCTCACTGGGCAAGAGAGCTTTGATACCCTCCCCTGTCAGGAGCTCTTAAATAATGCAGCCATCAAGTCAGAATTTAGTGCACAAGTAATGAAATTCATAACCTGAGTTTTCTATGGTAGCATTAACTGTGACACAGATTTATCACCAGTGTATCATCATTAAAAGGCAGTGGAATTGTGTTGTAGATTGATGTGATCATGTGCATGTAAAGATCAAGACACAAAAATTTACGTAATATAAGCAGAAGCTGTAATCTAAAACCCTTCCTACATGTGGTGTGATAGTTCCTCTTCCCAGAGCAGCAATGGCTTTTAAAATTACTGGGTAAATGTGTGTGTTTATATGTTTTTATTTAACTCTTTTAAACATAGTATTGTCTTAATCTTTTTCTCTCTCTCTCTCTTTTTTTTTTTTTGTGTTGAATTGTAGTTGAATCTGCCTAACAGTTCACCATTATTGAATTTCTTTATATTTTTGGAGCCTGGGTGTTGTAAGTCAGCACTTTATTGTGTTATCTTACAGAGAATATCAAAACACTGCTGTGTCTGATGCAGCCTTAGCGAAGACAAATGTAGGAAATACAAAAAGTATACGTAAAGCAAGAAGATCAATCTTATTGAGGTTTTATCATTATTACAAAGGCTATCAGAATCAGAGAAAAAAGGCAACAATGAACAAAAACTGTTCTTAGTTTTCAGGTTGTGTTCTCCCCTTCCTGCCCTCCAGTATTTTGTGCCCAGAAAGAAAGAGGACAGAGCTGGGCCAGTTAGGTGACATGGATTGATCGGCAGCTGTCCATCTGGTGGCCTTTGGAGGGGAAGGGACTTCGGGTACAGCTGCAGAGGGAGCTGCACCAGGTTCTTGCTGGAATTGGATCTCCTGGTCACTGCCAGCTCTTGGCAGCTGCTTCGAAACCTGGCCTAAACAATGTGTTTGTCTTCCACAAGGAGTTCAAAGCTATTAAGTAGTTGCTGAGGCTGCCTCTTTGGCAAATTTGTCAGTCAGCTCGTAGAGCTGTAAGTAAATGAGACCCTGTTACAAAGGCTTATTGCTCTTTGCGGTTGTGTAGGAGTTTACATAATTTTCTAAGGAGCTCTTTTATCTCCCAAGTACAGCAGCAATTAGGATTTACTTATGGAGTGTGGTGGCAGTTTGGAGCACTCGAGATGTACATGTCAGTCCTGGATGTTTCCTCCTCAGTGACCGTACTGGCACTCTGCCCTGGGGTCCAGCAAACCAGTCAGGACATTGGCTTGAAGGGAGTATTTGTAAAAGGAAGAGGGTGGGGATTCAACCTCTCTCCCCGAAAACCTCACTACACATTGACCCTTCACAGGAAGGTACCTTTTCCATCCACCCTTCCTGGCCTCCTTTAAGTCTCTGTTACTCCAGACACCAGAACTGATCGCTTTCGAGGTTGGGCTTTAATCTGGTGGGCTGCTCAGCATCCCAGCCATGATCCAGCAAAGCACATAATTGACTTCACTGTGGGTCTGTTCATGCAGTTAAAGTCCAGCTCCGACTTAAAATATCTGCTGGGTCAGGGCCAGAGTTCTCTCACTTGCAAAGTCAAACCTTTAGTGAACAAACCAGAGCTGTTTATCACATGGAGTACATGCCTGATGGCCTCATAAAGGAGCAACAATATTCACTGCACCCATCCCACCGTTTTCCCATGTTGCTCTTAATGATCTGTCAGAAATGACACATCTTGGAACAAATGCTGTAGGTGAGACTGCATCAAAACCTCCTCTTTCTCCTGAAACATTCAGTGTTTGTCTGCTCTTTGTGATTGTTTGTGATTTGCAAGTGTGGAGGAAGCAACCACAGAAGATATGGTGCCATGGAGATGGGACTGGGGAACCCATGGGGGAAAAGAGCTAGCATGGAGGTGGCTCTGGGCATCTGCCCAGTTTGCTGTGCGTCCCTTGCTCTTTATGGGGCAGAACAGTGCAAAAGAGAATCGGCAGATCTTTGGCCACCCAAAATCCTCAGCCATTGTCATGTGTGCCCAGCCCACCAGCCACACCCTCAGACCTTAGGGCCCTGGTTCAAATATCATGAGCTTTTGAACACCGGTGAGCTTTAGGATAATTTTTTATTTGTCCAGTGGTGTTTCATCTTTGGAGTGTTTAATATTGACACAGAGTCTTTGGGTAGAGGGAATGATTTTGTTTGGCTTTGTTGTAAAGTCTAAGGCATCTGGTTACGCTTAAGACGTTAACTTTAGCTAACAAGAAGCTTCTTGATAAAATTCACAGGTACTGGCAGTACTGCAGACATAGACTTATCTCCTGGGCATGTTTTGTAAAATTAAGCTATTTTCACTGAAAGAACAAAGAGTAGCATGGTCATGGAGCAACTGTCATATTTTATTACCAAACACAAATATGTGGGAAATCAATTACAGCACGAGTGCCGCACAGTGCATATTTCCAGTAATCCCCCACGGCCAGGGGAAGGTAGAAGGTTGATCTGAGCACAGGAGCAGATGGCAAGCAACTTTAGATAGCCTCACTGCCATTTTTACTCTTTCAAGTGTTTGTGCTTCTCCTTTGATCTTCAGATCTTGCATTTAATATGTTTAATCTTCTTTCATATACTGTTTTCAAATTTAACTTTCCCTTTAAATAACTTTTGCTTGGGGGAGTTTGTATTAGTATGGGTTTTGTTAACTTCCATACTGTGAAATTTAAGAAGAGACATAGTTGCTATGTTTCTTTAGTGTTGTTCACATCCAGTAAAATACCAACTACATCGCTGCAGAGGACTTTGCCATTCACCATGCACAGCTGTAATGATACAGTGAAAACATCCCACCTCACAAAGTTACTGAGACACTTACAACGCACATGAAGTTGCATTAGACTTTCTTTGAAGGTAGAAGATACTATGGCAGTGTCATGGCACATCCATAGTAAGCACCTATAGAAGTTTGATTTCATTGTTATCTCATTAAATTTAATTCTTACAGTTAAGTAATTAAGCATGATTAGTATTCTCTGTGCATATAACATTTTTATCTCCACTTAGTTTATATTTAAAAGTATTTTGCAGTGTTCTGAAGGAAAGCAGCAAGAGCAACGTGGGGGGATCTGCATAACCACATGATTTGTGTCTCTGCTTTTTCTGTAGCTGTCAGAAATGATAGGAACAAAAAGAAGAAGGAACCTGCAAAGCAGGAATCCACAGAAAACTATGAAATGACAGCAGAGTTGGATGATCTCACTGAGAAGATCCGAAAAGCTCACCAGGAAACTTTCCCCTCGCTCTGCCAGCTGGGAAAATACACTACAGTAAGTATGGTTTGTGAAGCATACATTCTGGATATGCCTGGATGATGTTGAGTTTTGTGTTGGAGGCTTCAGACATTTTAAATAGATGCGGAAACAGATACACTCCTTGCACTTCCTAAGCCATGAAAAAAACACAGGTATGCCTGCAAATAGGTGCTGAAGAAGAGAAATTGCACTTAACTGGAAGCATTACTTAGTGGTATTGTGAGAGACTGTCTGAAAGATTAATCTGGTCAAGAGACAGGCTTGGAGTCTATGAGTCAATTACATGCCATCATTCATTAGAAATTTGTTGGCTTCCAAAGACGTGATCTCTGCTTGTGCATCAACGGATTACAACTTTGCAGGTGTAGAGAGTTCTTAAATGCTGCTGGGTTACTGGTGACAGTCCCAAAGCTACCAGGGTCATGGAAAATATGAAATGTCTAAATAAACTGGTTTCCAAAACGCTCATCTGCGGTTTATTCCTCTCACAGTATACCAAAATACCACAAAGCAGCAAACACTTCTGCTGCTTTTAGAAACGAAAAATTGGCCCCCTGTCAAGAAGCTCACTATTGCAGGAATTTCTTCAGAGTATGGATTGAGGAAATATTTTTTTTTTCTATACATAGATATGTTGTTATGCTAAATACAGGGAAGTTCTGTGCTATTTATTGATTTCAGAGAGAAAATCTAATGTCAAACTTGCAAATGCAGTAATAAAAGAGATGCTTAAAAATAAATTGTTAGGTAATGTTTAGAGTCCTGTCGGTAGAGGACCGACTTTGCTGTCAATTGCAGCAGCGGTGGTTGTTTCAGAGGGATGTGCAGAAGGTCCTGAAGTAGTCGAGTGTATGCTCTCGCTGCTGAGTCCAGGAGTTTAGGATGGGGATGGCTGTGGTAAGGAGATGCCTGCCTCCATGGTCCTTGTCCTCCATAGTTCCCCAGCTGGACATCTGGGACCAAGACCCAGAGGCCAGGTGAAGTACCTCTTTCACTGGATTGCTCTCTGTTTTGCTGCTGAAACAAACATTAAATTTCTCAAAGAGCAATCTAGGTAAATCCCTGTATGGCATCAGTATTCACTGGTTTATGGCATACTCATCTATTTACCAACTGCAAGGTTCAAAACTCTCAGGCCTAGATGTAAAACTTAAGTGTAAAACTTAATTTAAGTGTAAAACTTAGTGTAAAACTTAAAAGTGCAAGGAAAGCAAGCATACATGGTGTGATGTTAGAAGGCAGCATGTTTTTTCGCGTTTCTGAAAGTATTTTCACAAACATTTTTCACATTTAATTGTGGGGCTTGCATAGAATGGTTTGTACTGGGGAAGGTGCCTGTCCTCTGCACGCTTCTCTGGTGCTGTCCCTGCTCGGGTGAGATGTAGTCAAAACAGTCAGCGTAGGCTTGCTGATAAATACTGCACAGGCAGACCCCCAGGGACCAGCACAGCGTGTGAGGCTGGAGGCTCAAAACCAGACAGCTGGTGACATAACCGAAGGCAGAGCTGGAGATGGTGGGATCTGCAGTGTGTCTTTCCAAGGAAATTCCTGGATCGATGCCCTCCGCCACTCCTCTCAGCACACACGGTTGCATCCTCGTCTTGGAAGGAATAAAATCTTCCAAACAGGCTCTCATACTTCTGCAAACGCGAGAGCACTTCCGAATGAGTGCGAAAAGATCTTCCCAGTTCAAAGACAGTGAGTTTATGCCTTGCAGAAGAGGTGGTTGAATGTCCACAGCTGGGGTGCGTTGCCAGGCTGGTGTGCATGCCAGAGATAATTGCTCACAGGCTGCCTTGCAAATGGCCTGGCTATCCCAGAACAATAATCTGTCGTTATACCTCCCAACGTGAACGTGTCGGTACCTACTTTTGTGTTACCTCTGAGTTAGAGGTGTGAGCAGCTGGTGTGATGGTGCTTCATACCAGTAACTGCCAGTGATCCTTAAGGGTTGAACCTGGGCACCTGTTCGCTTCCACTATATATTGGATGCTTCAGTATCATTAATATTTTAGCTTGTGAAATTATACAAGTGGGTGAAATTGGAGAGGGTCTTGTTGTATATCACACCCACCACTGGTGCCTTCCTCCTTGGGTTCCTGATGACCCCCATGGTGTGTTTATGTCCCCACTGGAATTTCAAAGCCCTGACTGAGAGCACCTGGATCTAAGTAATGAATGGATTAATCCAGTCTGTCTGTGGGTCCTGAGTAACCATGACCTGACCACACTCTCTCTGAGGCTCGGTATTGGTCATTCACATCTCAGGCCAGATAGGACAGCTTGGGGAAAGAGACTCCTCATTTTTATCATTGGTCTGTTGGAAGTCCACAGTGGTTAGCTGCACATGGAGAGTCCCTGCCTCTTTGTCATGGTTTGGTACTATACATGTTGCAATAACAAAATTATACTGGAAGAGTTATTTTTTTGCTTACCTTGAATCTGAGTGCCATACATCTTCAACAGCTGTGTCAAAACTAACAGCAGCAGTGCTAAATACTAACTGCCACCTTGCTGCACTCCCATAGTCTCTGTGTGAAGTGCAGAGTATTTCAGTCTCTCGTCTAGCTAGGGTCCGGTGACCACTCCTGCTTTTTAGGTAGGAATTCAGGTTTGAGAGCTCATTTTTATGAACACTGTGTCTGTCCAGCTCTGGAGGGACAGAGTACCACAAGGACTGGAGTAAGGGTCATCTCCATCACCAGCTGCCTGTCAGCCCAGGAGCAAGGGAAAAGCTTTTCTGCAGCAGAGGAGGATACAGGAGTTAGAAGGTGTGTGTGCTGGTTGGAGGAGCAGAGCTTCAGTGCTTGGACAACACCACTGGCTGCTGATCAAACAGCAGGGCTCAGGCAATAGTCTTTCCTTTTGAGACACTTGAAGGAGAGACCAGAAGTCAAGAAAAGGATCACACAGCCCTTTTTCTAAATGTTGAGTCCAAGGGGAGCTAGAAGCCTACACCACTCTACGTTTCTTGATGGTAACAAGCTAGTATGGGTGGAAGATTGCCACCAGTCCTGCTTTTATGCCCGATTCTGCAGGTTAACAGTCAGGAGGCGTGGTGTGCTTACACTGTGGAGCATACAGATTGCTTTTGTAACCTTAGAGTTTTTAATTTAATTATTTAAGTGAGAGGTGAGAAGTGAGTGTATTGAATCAATGTGGATTCCCTTGAATTTTGTGAGCTTTGCACTTGGGTACTAACAGAGACGGTGAACGGAAGAAACTGTTTTGCAAGCATAGCCCCTGTTCACCTTCCGTTATGTGATTGTTCAGACTGATTCAAAACATTCTTTTGTTTGTTGCTAAAAAGAGCAAAGAATTTTAAGTATAAGAGTGGAGTAAAAAAGACCTTGCAGAGATACAGTCAAAAAAAAAAAAATCAATTCAGACATTTGGCTTGCATATCTGGTTCCTCTCGTTCTTGAGCACTGCAGCCTGCATTTCCCAGAGCGAAAGGTTGCGTGGTGATTGTTTTCCCACATTGTCTATTTTTACCTGTTCAAAAATGGGTTTGAAGAATAATTTTCAATTATGTTGTTTTATACTCATCTGCTCTTTAAAAAGAAAAAATTTCCCTATCTGTAATAATTACCGTACTTTGCATAGTTAATAAAAGTCTACTTAAAATAATGGGGGAATGGCACTCGTGTTACATTCCCTGGGTCATTTGACTTAGTTGCATTTCCATGGCAAGTACAGTTCTGCCGATTATGAGAATCAGCAAGCTGTTTAAATGTAATGGGTTTCAAAAGTCCATCATAAATAGATCTGTTTTATTACTGTCATCCAGGTGAGAGAGAGTGCCTTAGTAATTTCTCTGGAGATGTCATACTTTATAGTATAATTGAGTATAACTATACTGCTCGTCCCTTGAGACTGGTATTATTGGTAAGTCTACAGCTGTGTTACATACAGTCTTTTGATAAAGGGAGGATAAAACAGAAAATAATTTTGACTCTGTGGACCCTTGCTGCAGGCTCTCCTGTGTTGCTCTGGGCTGACTGGAAGCCAAGAGGGTTTGTGTCTTGGCAGCATTTTGTCCTTTGTAAGTGCTGGGCTTAGGAGTTACACAGCTATTGTTCTGTGCCATTGCAGGGGAATATGTATATAAATATGTATGTATGTGTGTGTGTATGGTTTTATATCTATCTATCTGTCTATCTATCTATCCTGATGCTGGGACTGAGCAGAGACATGTACCCTGGTCCTCAGTGAACTCGCTGGAGCTGGAGTGCGTTGCTGCTTTTACTAAAGAGGAATAGCAAGTGTTCCTGATTAGGGCAGAGTGCCCCTGTGAGCCTTGTTTCCTTTGTAAAGTGGGTTTTAAAGACAGTAGGGATTCTGCTACTGTGTATGTTTCTGTGAGTGCCTCATGTCGTATTGTTAATGCGGAGATAGAGCAGCCTGCAATGAAAAAACAAAAATGATGGAAAAAATGGGATCAATTTATGTGGCAAAAATGGCTGTTTAATTGGATTTTGTAGCAAGATTGGGCTTTTCCACTGATAAAGATGCCACCAGGGTGTATTACAGTATTGTTCCACCATATGTGTGCTGGTGCAAAGGCCTGAAAAACATGCAAGGCTGCTCCTGGAAAAGACACCCAAAAAACTGCTTCAGTAAAACATTCAGCAAAAGTCATAGCGTCTGCATCTTTTTCACAGCATGGTTGGAGGAGATCCCCAGGCAAATTTAATCAGAGTTTCTGTGTCTAACGTGCATTTTATTAACCCCGGATTTTACTGTTCAACCTATACATTGATACTGAGTCAGTTTGGGGTTTATATATTCAGAAACACTGCTAAAAATCTAGCTGTTTTCCGTGGCGCTTGCGACTGCATTCATTACCAAATAAAATGTTAAAAGTCTTTCCATTTGTAGCATCTCAAAGATAATGTGTAAACCACATTAGCTCTTAACGCTGAGGAATCTGGCACCTGGCATAATAAAACACCCAGTTATTTTGTATTTTATTAACTGCCCCTTCTCTTCAGTTTGCATAATAGTGAGTTAGATTTACATTTGTTAAGACGGCCATGCATTACTCTTCATAGAGGACCTGTCAAACTTCCCATTGCCGGTACTGCCGCATGATAAAGTAACCTCATATGATACTGATGAAGATTTCGTTCACACTTGCTGGTTTTGTGCAACGTCTTTTTTTCCAGATGGATACCCTATTGTAAAATTATTTCCTGCTTTAGGCTCTGCTTTGTGTAGCTCTCCACTATGCCATCTTTCTATGAACTGGATAAACTGCCTATTAAATTTAATTACAGCCTGAATGACTGCACATCTTGATCTTATTTTTCCTCCAATGTACTGTATTTCACCAAGGTCCTTGAGGATGAAATAAAATAAATCTGAAGGATGCATACTCCAGTAGCCGAAAGAAATGTTTCAAAGGGCATTACAATGACTGTTAACCCATTAGTTTTGGACCATTTTGAAGGCAATTCTTTAGGTTTAGGATTATAAAGACAGGTTTACCTCTATTTTCTTCTGTCATTTAAAAAAAAAACAAACCAAAACAAAATAGAAGAAGTTCCCAGAATAAAAATTAAAATAGAAATTATGAAGTTCATTTCTTATGCCTTAAAAAGAGGGCAAACAAGGAAGAGCACCTGTGCACCTTCAAACTGTTCAGCATGGTTAGTATTTATTTTTTGCAGTAAGTGCCTCCTATAAATAAATATCTCCACCCAGTTGCAAGTGAGGGTGAATGTCGGGCTGGCGGCCACCTTGGGACCATAAGGACTTTCACTTTCGTGACTGATGGTGATTGTGGCATCTGTGAAGGCAGCTCTGGGAGGGGGTGACGGAGCATCACAGCCAAGCTGAGCTCGCCCTGCATCCCCTCGTCAGCCTCTTCAGGCCCTGTGTCCTTCCCATGAACCAAAGAAAGCTGATGGCTTCAGAGGTTTCCAAGGCAGTGGACATCAGCAGCGATGGTGGCAGGGTCACTGGAGATGCTTCCTGTGAGATGCTTTCCTGTGCAAACTGAATGCTTTTTGGTGACTGTTTGTCTGCCACCTCTGTTAGACTAGGTTGAGACTCCTTTTGTTCAACTTTAATTTTGAAGTTAATTTAAGATTTTAACTTCAACCAGTTAAGATGAAGGAAGCTAATCACATAAGCTTCCTCTGGAGCTGGGGAGAAAGCTGCCATCTGAGGGGATTTTCTCTTGCCTACCTTAAGTACCTGTCTGGAGCGGGTGTGCCTTTTTTTGGAGGTGGCTCTCTGTTTCTTGATTAGTCAACAAGCTCAGATGAGAAGTAGAAGAGAGAAACTCTGCCTTTGGTTTTCTGTGGTTCTCAGCACCATTTGCAAATTAATTACCAGTATATTTTTATGAGTAAAATTCCTCTTGCAATTAAGAGATCACCCAGATGCTGCAGGCAGCTGCAGAACACACTAAACCTCCTGGTTCATGAGATAGTGGGGGGCATCATCACGCTGGCTGCATCCCAAATAGTGTTGGATGAAATGCTGGCAAAATGGGAATATGCTGTGCGCTGGTGAAGGAGGAAAGGGGTCTTGGGTATTTCAGAGTTCTGTCATTACCTGTTTCTTGTCAACCCATAGGAATCATGGGTGGCTTGGAAGCAACTCACCAGGTCTCCCCATGCCCCCATCTTTTGTTGGACTAGTATCAAACAGATCACAGTAACTTTTGAGTCAACCAGTTCTTGGGTGGCACGTTGAACTTTTTCAAGGGTTAAGTCATTATTCTGAATGTATGAAAACCTGAGTGGAATCACAGACTTAACACAGATTTGCTATGCATCCTAGCAAATTACAGACTTCTGGATTAAGAGACATGAATATATGGAAACAGTCTCCGAAAGATGCAGCTGCAATGTCCTTGTAACACTTCTAACAGAAGGATATATGTTGGATGCATCGTCAAATAAGTATATAGCATTCAACAGCGCACGTGGTGCTTTTCTTAATGTTGTATAAAGAAATATTCTTTAACTCATGGGAGACTGTAGCTTGAGAAAGCTGTAAAACTCTTGCAGAGCCACAGAGCAGATAAATTAAGTAGAACTAATTTGCTAAGACCTTAAGTACGTGGAACTATGTTCCAAATATTGTGCTGCTTTTTCTAGATGAGGACTTGATATTCTTGTTCCACTGTTCATTTATATTTTCTGGGGTACAACTGTAAATTGTCTCTCTCAATGCACTTATTATATAATGGCAAGGAAGAATAATGATAGTGGCATTTGGAAATGTTTAAGTTCATTTGTATCCCTTGTACAGATGGCCTCTGCAATCGTAAGTAACAGAGAAATATCCAAGGAATTTTCAGGCGATTAATCCAAGTTCAAAACCAGCATCATCCCAACAGCAAGCTGCAGAAAATGCCTGGAATGTTAATAGAAAGTACTTCTGGAAGGAATACTCGGTTGTTGTTTCCTTCCCTTGAAAACCATTTCCTGAAAGGGACATTGTTGATTTATGGTGCCTTCTGTCTGTCTTTCCAGAACTCCAGTGCAGACCATCGGGTTCGACTGGACCTCGGGCTTTGGGACAAATTCAGTGAACTTGCAACAAAGTGCATTATTAAAATAGTGGAATTTGCAAAGCGATTGCCAGGCTTTACAAGTTTGACCATTGCAGACCAGATAACTCTACTTAAAGCAGCCTGCCTGGATATACTGGTATGTATTTTTAACATAATAGTTATACTACCAATGTATTTCCTATTGCTCTTTTTACTGTAATCAGTAAAACAGGGAGAGGGGGTCAAATATTGCCCCAGCCTTTCGGTTGCAAAATTGAACTTACTGGGTAGTCTGGTATGGTCACGAGTGGATTCTAGTATGTCTCCAGATGTGTGTTATATGGGATGACCATACTTTTCAAAATATGTAGTAAGTCCTTATAGTTTGTGGATTTCAATATAGTTGCAAGAAGGGCACATTTTGGTATTGTGGCACTAACTTGAAATATGTGCAACTTTGGAAAAATTTCCTTGTTGTTAATGCTGAGGAGGGATCTCATTCTCTTTCCTTCCTCCTCCCTCCGGAACGATGCTCTGTGTAAAGGATACCTAGGAAGACAGTTTGCTGTGTAATGCTTTAGGAACATACTGTATGTGTGGTCATGAGGTAATTCAAGGAACAAGACAGAGATCTTCAGAGTGAGGTTTTTGCAAGTTGTAGAGGGGAAATGTGTGCTGGGAGCCTGGCAGGCACGAGCCTCTGGCATGCAGAGCCCCTGCTTTCACCAGTGCTGCGGGCACCTGTGGAACTAGACACTGTAATGGACTCTGTACAGATTTTAGCTGAGTGTCATTTGATTTTAAATAGGCATACAACCTGCAGCAGGGAACTGTGCAGATGGGCTTAGAGTTTTTCTCCAGACCTTGCCACTGTGTCAAGGCAAGCTGTCTTCCCTCCCTTTGTCTCTGGTTATTTCTGTCACACTGACCTTCAGAAGAACCCTCTGGGATCTCGGCATTTCTTTATCAAGACCTTAGAGGTCTTCAGGCTTTTGATTGCAAATATGCTTGTTATTCTTGGTCATAGCAATAACTTTCAGTAAAACAGTTAATGTTTTCAGTGTGTTTTAAACATATTTTAAATATTGTTTTCTGACCACAAACCTTCAGATAGGACATGGTTGCTGCAAAAAGACCTCTAACTTTCCTGCACTACATTTACACAAGCTGTATGTGACTATTTTATGTGCCACTTAAAAAGAAAAAGGGATAATTACGATGGGCACAGTAATGCATAGTGCACACACTGTCTGTGAAATGCCCACATCACCTGCACATCACTGGCATTGCAATGCAGCTCTCTTTATTTAAGCTAAATTTCAGTACTTGTAGCTGTGTTTTAGTAGCACATATTTTCCCTCCCAGCAAAGTAGTTCTCCTGATTATGAGGAGTGTTTTGAACGCTCTATTTTGTGCATTGAGACACAGAGTAATCACCATTCCCCCTCCTGCTGCGTGAGCACCTGCTGACGGTGCCTCCCCATGTTCTGCTGGGTGAGCACTCCCCAGCGTGGGTGTGAGCCCCACCACTGTGCACTCACCATCCGCTGCTGTGCAATCCTCTGGATGTGTCCCCAGAGCCGTGGCATGTGGGAGGGACGGTGTTGGGCTTCCAGCCCAGCCAGGGAGGGTGGCTGGGCTTCCCCCACCAGCAGGACACCGGATCAGTGCCCACCCAGCAGCGCTGTCAGTCTTCAGCATTTATAGACCTGCCAAAGGCTCTGCTCAGTTGGTTCCTGCAGCCATGGATGCTTAAACCACCCAACAGGCTGACAAAGGAAATGATGCCAGGAGCTCAGTAAACTCTGCTGGGTATGGGCCAGAGAATTGTTTTATATACAAACAAAATCTCTGGAAGGGAAATGACATCAAGCCTTGCAAGGCAGCTGAAGGCGCCGATTGAGGATGGTGGAATTTATATCTGCTCTGCTGCCAGAAGTTTCAGGGATAAATACTGCTAAAATTGAGTCGGTAACCCTCATAAAAGCAAGTGCTTCTGTCTGCTGGCACGCTGGCCCAGCAGCGGTCGAGCATCCCCAGCCTCGCCAGGCTCTGGCAAAATCAATGTGGAAAGAGTCCAGAAGTCCAGCCTGTCTGAAATCCAATGGATAAAAACCTGAGAAGTCCTTGAACACTGTTGGGTTTGTGTGTGTTGGGGGGCGTTTTTTTGGTCATGGGGGAAGGGCCACCTTGTGAGAGCGAAGAGCTCCCCTGGCTCCAAGGCAGAGACCCCCCAGCCCAGGCTGGGCCAATGAGCACTAGAGAAATGGCTCTGGAATCCATATTGGTGAGGGGAAGGACTGTCCTGAAAAGAAGAAGGTGTGGTACCTGGAGGAGAGGCCATTGACTTAACAAAAGACAACCATCAGCCTCAACAAAGGACAGACAGAGAGAGAGCCTCCTTGCCAGAGGAAAAGACAGAGACACACACCCAGTTCACCTGATGGAGTAGGAGAAGACAAAGGAAGTTCCTTGCAGCCCATGGAGATTCAATGTTGGAGCAGAGACCCACGTGTAGGCCATGGAGGACTCCACGCTGGAGCAGAGAAGCTGAGCCTGAGGGCAAGTGTGATGGAATTGTAACCCCGAGAGTCAGTCGCTGCCAGAGCGGGGGTGGACCCCCAGAGTGGGGGGTGAGTCTGCAGCCCATGGATGTCCCCATGCTGGAGCCAGGAGTTGAGCCCAAAGAGGTCCATGACTCCATGGGAAGTTTGCTCTGGAACATCTTGTTCCTGGACTGCCATGCCAGGAAGATCAGCAGAGGTGAACTGACTGAACCCCAATTCCCTGTCCCCTGTGCCGCTGGGGGGGAGAAGGTAGAGAAATTGGGAGCAAAGTGATTTGAGCCCGGGAAGAAGGGAGGGGTGGGGGAAGGTGTTGTAAGATGTGGTTGTTACATCTAATTGCAGTGACTTAGATGAAATGGCAATGAATTAAATGGATTTTTCTTCCCCAAGTTGAGTCTGTTTTGCCCGTGACCATAACTGGTGAGTGAGCCGTCCCTGTCCTTCATTACTAATCTCATGCCCCCTCTGTTGTGTCTCCCATCCCATCTCACCAGGTTGGGGGAGTGAATTCAGGACCGCATGGTCCCACTGTGGGTCAAACCACCACAAACACTAATCCTTAATAATGTCATTTTTTGTTTGCTGATGTAAAACCCTGCCCCTTAGTGCTAGGGAGGCTTTGGTGTGTGTGGAATGAGCTGTGCTGATGGGGTATGGCAGCACCGTGGAGTTTGTTCATTGTTTCAGTGTCACCTGCTTGGGTTTCACCTCTCAGAACACCATGCCCACCAGTAAGGCAACTAGTGTGTAACAACAGCATTTCTTAAAACAAGCTTAGTTTGCCTTAACAGATCTGTTTAAAATGGTAGCAATGATTTCGTAAATGCAGCTTTCTGGATGGTTTTGGTTTTGTGTGACCTGTGGGGTTTTAGCTTTGTGATTTGTAACTGGCTCATAGGAACCCCAGATGCTTTAAGATATAAATATCCCTTAAAACAAAGGGTCCTTTAATCATGGGCAAGAACCTCATTTATGGCTGCGCATGGCAGTTAAGAGTAGAGTGACAACTAAAATATTTGGCTTGGTTACAAAATCTAAACAACATTGAGGACATTAGGAGGATGTCTTCTAGACAGCAGTTCAGTTTAAAATGGGGAGAGATACCGTGATTTCTTATTTTAAAGTGCTGAAATTTCCCATATGTTCTTCAGTGAATATGAGCTTGAAATCAGCTTCACTTTGACACTGGAAGTTTGCCCAAGAAAGGTTTAGCAATGTCCATGGTGTTCTGCAGATCTTGATGAAGAACACAAATTAAAAAAAAAAACAACAACCAAACAACAAAAACCCAAAATATTTCAAATTATCTGTGTCAGGATTTAGTAACAGCGTGTTGTGGGATAATGTCGAAGGAACGCAAGAGAAACCCGGGACCCGATTGCTGCAGTCAAGCCAAGTGCCTTGCAGAGACGCGTAGCTGAGCGTCAGCGGTGCCAGTGCCCCAGCAGAGCCACTGCCTGCTCCTCCCGTTAACAGCTGGGGTGGCGTTTAGGTACGAAAGCCTCAAGTGTGCCTGTTGCAGAAAGCCATCCTACTTGCTGCCTAAGCCTGGAAGTAGCTAAATTCCACAAGAGCTTTATGTTTTAATTATAAATTTTGCAAGGCCCTTGGAAGTCTCATTCTGTGCGTGCCCACAGGGGCTCTAGGCTGAGTAATCTAACTCCAAATTAATTCCCGAGGAGGATCCAGCCTGGAAGTCTTCTTCTGCATTAGCCCTGGGGGGCGGTGACCTAGTAGGTCTTTGAGCACCCCCAGCATGCCCCCCAGAACAGAGTGGGGCTTACAGCAGCGGAGACCTTTGCAGGGAGGGAGCCAGCAGCCTGCTGTATGGCAGGAGGTGCGCGTTCGGCCTCCGGGTTGTTTGGGATAAGCACTTGGGGCACCCCAGTCTTCGGGGCCAGGGCTCTCTGGGCAGTGCAGCGCTGGCAGCCAGTATCCAGGCTTGCCCTGGGAGGGAGGATACGGAGGAACCGAATCTGCCGCCCCGGCTTGGGCAGCTGCTGGGGAGGCTGCAGACAGGCTTCAGGAAACACCACGGCGCTTCCCAATTTAGCTCCAGTTCCTGCTCTGTTAATTTGTTGGGCTGGAAGTCCTGAAGGTGTGGAGGGAGGAACTCTCATTGCTAAGGCTTAGCAGTTAATGTAGCCCCAGGATAAAAGGGGCTGCCTTTCTTCCCAGCTGAGCTAAGGGAAAATGAGTACCACTTAAGAAGTACAGAGCCTGGTACCTCCAAAAGTTGGGTACCTCATCATCACAGGCCACGCACCCTTGCTGGAAGGCAGCTACTGTATGTGCAGGCTTCAGATGGGAAGGGTTACGCTCCAGTTTCACTTGCATGCCGTTAGAGAAGTAAACCAAGTAGCTCCTGGGTTTCTAAATAAAGATGCAGTATTCAGACCTTGCTTTTCTTGAAAACAGGATATTTCTGGATATTTCTTCTCCTTTCTATACAATCCCTTTAATGATTTAAAAGGATAACCAACAACAAACTCTTTAGGGAGAGAAATGCCAGTGGTTCCTGGCAGCACGGAATGTGGTAAACATGCTGTCTCTTATTGACAGGCTGCTGTGCTTTATAATGTTAATTTCTGCTAATAATCCTAAAATACACTTTGGCTCTTACACAAAACCTTTGGAGTTACCAGCAGCCTTTTAAGATCACTTATATTAGTGGGGAGTTTGTGGTCAGTGAAGAATTTGAGTGTGGTCTGTTTGTATTTGTGCCTTTCTTGGTCACTGATTGAAGTAATTTCAAGAGCTTATTCTAATTCAGGAGTAGAGGAACTATGTGAAACAGGCCTGTCCAACCACATCGAGTCTCGGTGCTCCAGTGTACACCCACAACGTGAGATAAGATTATTGCTGAGATAGAAAATGGTTGAAGAGCCATCTGCAGAAATACACCCTAGTAAGTCTTTTACCAAGGAATTTAAGATAAATAAAAGCTTCCCTGTAGGTCTCTTAAGTGCCAAGTCCTCCTCGTTCTCCTCCCTGCTTATTTGGAGCAGTATTGCCAGGAAAAGACGAAAGCAGGAGAACCAAGCCCAGGCTGGTCGGCTGCCAAGTGCTGGGGCCTCTGACTCAGAGCTTCGGCAACTATAGGAATAATTAAAATTCTCCCTGAGCTCACTTATATTCATGTAAATCTTTTTTGTTGGATCTTTAAAACAAAGTAGGATGGCTGTATGGGAAATAAATACAGTCAAGCCCTGAAAAAATACGACTGTAGCCTTAGCTCAGCTAATCTGGTTCACTTCTGCAAGGTTTTATATTATTTTAGTTTGGGGATAGGCCTTCTCCCACCTCTGATTATTTTAAACATCAAGCACTGATGTATGTGACAGAAATATGTCAGCGTGATGGACATCCCTTTTATTTGATCTTTAAGTCAGTGTTCCTTCATAGCAGCTGGACGAATGAGCCCGTGCCGTACCGAGTCTGTGGTGGGGCACACCCTGGGTTCCGTCCGAGAGGTGAGAGCGCTGACGCCTGTGCTCTCTCTGCCCGTGCTGCCCCCTCCGCTGTCACAGCAGCGCCCTTGATGCCACCTCCGCTGTCACAGCAGCGCCCCTGACGCTGTGGTTACCCCAGAGGTGTTTACTAACAAAACACAGGGCATCCTCAGGGTTTGATTCTTGAGGTTTGCATTCCTCTTTGTCCATTTAGAGGTGTGAATCCCCATCTTCCCCTCCAACGCTCTTTCATCCGAGATCAGTGCTGGGTGGCTGTCAGCGTACAAGTCACGTTGCCCAAACCAGCACTGCCTGGGCTTGCACAGGGGTGAGAAGATACACTGTGCCAGGCGGGCAGAGCACACAGCCTTACCAGCACTGCCTCCGGCTTGGGCTGGGGGAAGCGCCAGAGCCCCAGGGAAGTCTGGAGGCCAACCGGCTGATGAGGAGGCTCAGCCCTACAGCAGGTGGAACTAACAGCACTCGCAGAAGACAACAAGCTGGGCCGCCTCCTCAGGCTGCTGGCCAGGCTGTCAGCAGCCCCGCGTGTGCTGCCATGTGGAGGTTCAAAGTTTGATAATCTGCTGAGGTGGGAGTTCCCAGACTGGCAAGACAAGCAGCGCTGGGTGGAGGCTGTAACTCCAGCTGCTCCGGGGGCGAAGGGCTCCATGGGGAGTGTGTGCAGGGGCTGTGTTCACATCGTCGTGGTGTCCTGTCTGCTTCACAGAAGAAAGGAAGGCACCCCAAAGCATCAGTTCTGCCTCTTTCACCAGCTCACAGCTGTCCATGCTCACTCACACGAGATACCACAGAGACACTTTGGCCTTGCCAAAGACACAACCCAGAGAAACTCTGTCATGCAAAATCAACTCCCAAAATCAATTAAATGCACCTCTGTTTGAAGAGGTGAGATATTTTTATCATCTTGCTGGATCAGACCAGCAGCACCATAGTGTTTTACAGTTAGGTGCATATAATATTAAAGAGTGGTTTATGTGAATATGACGATAATGTTCGGTGAGTTAAGTGGTGAGAATTGCATAGAAGTTTTGATTATTTCGTAACTGAAGTTTGTTATAAAAAATACCTGTAGTCAATCAAGTATATTTAGGTTGTACCATAGAGTGTCTGTGCTACTGAGTACTGCCACACTGAAAAAATGCAACAAACCTCTCATGGATTGAATTATTTTTTTTTGGTCCTTCCACAGATCCTTAGAATTTGCACAAGATACACACCAGAACAAGACACCATGACCTTTTCAGATGGCCTTACCCTAAACCGAACTCAGATGCATAACGCCGGATTTGGCCCCCTGACCGATCTCGTGTTCACGTTTGCCAGCCAGCTCCTGCCTTTGGAAATGGATGATACAGAAACAGGTCTCCTTAGTGCCATCTGCTTAATCTGCGGAGGTACCGTACAGCGTGAACTCGGAGGTGTTTGGAAAGGACAGACATGATAGGATCTTCATTTATGTTTCACTTGCTTTACTTTCCCTAAAACATATATATATATAAAATATAGATATGTAATATTATTACATATGTTACATAAACCACTTAACACTAAACGTTTGTTCTCCACTGGTGGTAAGTTACTGGTTTTATTATTGATACATTTTTAAATGAATTGAATCTAGGACTACAAGATATATCCTGCTGCAGTTTTTTATAAGCAGTATATGGGCACCTGTATCGGGGCAAGATGCCATTATGCAATGTTTACTCATAACTGTGTGCATATGGTTACATTCACACAGAAGTAATTGGTGATAACTTTAGGAAAAAAAATAGATTATACCTTAAAATTAGCATAGTGGCACTGATTATATGATTGGAGGGGGGCTGATTACACAACTTTAAAGCAACATTGTCAAATAAAATCATGGTTTTAAAATACAAAAAGCAAAGTCTTAGATAATTTCCAAAATCCTCTGTAAATTTCTTTTATTTTCATCCCAGAATCTCTCTCCTCCTTTGCAAAATCTGGACTAGCAATAGAAACACACCTTGTTTAGTTGGGCCATTTTGTTGAAATACAAACTGGGTTCTCCTAGAGAATGTTTAAAAAACAAGAGTCTTTGTTGACAATGTCCCTTTAGTACATAATCATTCCGATTTCATGTGTCTCTAACCATAACCCATCAAAAGCATTGATGGGTTCTGAGATGTCATTGATATGTGACTGGTGCCTGCCTCCTGGTTGATGGGTGACATTTGTCACTCAAGCCAGCACTGCCATCTGCTGATACCTGATGGTAACTCAATTTTAGTATTGATACAAAAAATAAATTAGCCATAATCTCTTTGTAAGTAGCTTATTAATGATGCATATAAAATTAATTCTGAAATATTGTTTGCAGCAAGGTGTTTGCCCCTTGGAGAGGGAGGTACAAGAGCAAACTGATCATTTGGGATCTCTCAAATGATAAACCTTTCCAGTAACCAAGGAAAAATGAATCTAAGTTTCAGAAAGCCATGGTTTGTCCTCTTCCTGTGGGACACTCACTTATGGGTCATAAGTGGAGAGAAGGATTAAATTCATGGGGTTTTAATCAAGAACATGGAGGAGCATTTAGAGATTGTTAAAAAAAAATAATCTAAAACCATATGAGTGATATGATACTTTTCTACAGATCGCCAGGACCTTGAAGAACCAATGAAAGTGGATAAGCTTCAGGAACCGTTGCTTGAAGCACTGAAAATTTATATCCGAAAGAGACGACCCAACAAGCCTCACATGTTCCCAAAGATCTTAATGAAAATCACAGATCTTCGCAGCATCAGTGCAAAAGGTAGTGTCTCCCAGTAATTCAGCACTGGGGTCAGTGTTACGTTGTAGAGGAAACTGGCCTAGGGACCTGGGTTGTTATGTTTTAATATATCTAAGCAAAGGCCTTGTGAGCTTTCTCTTCCCTTCTTCTTTATGTCACTAACTCCTGTGTTTGAACTAGTTCTACTTTAAACGTATACATGGTGCTACATTCCGCATGCAGCCTCTTACAGTGAAAATGATGTCTTAGGTATAATTGGGTTAGCAAATAATTAGCATGAACTCTTTGTTAGTCATCTTAAGACAAGATAAAACCCTGCATTAAACCTTTGTTAATGTTTACAAGGGGATGCGGGTCAACATGTACTTTGTATCACTACTGGCTTTTAAAAACCAGTCTGTTTTTAGACAGCAAAAAACACTTGTGCATCCAAAATGCCCCTAAATTGAGGTCTGACATACTGAAGATTTAGAACAGATTTGATCCAGGATTTTGGAGATTCAGCACCTTTAATCCAAACTAACCATGCTTCCTCATGGATCAGTTCTGGTTTAACATTTTGAGTAGCCTAGTATGTGATCCATTGATCGTGTGAAGCACACGCAGTCTGAGGGCTATCACATAAATTCTCTAAAGCGCAGCTACAGTTGAATCTTTCCTTTCGTCAGAGGCTCCTCACTTGTGCATTGTCCCCCAGCGTGTGCAGCCAGGGTGGGCTGGGCAGCTGTTCACAGAGTAGCAGCCACAGCCAGTCTGTGCCAGCTCCTCGGCAGCCTCCGTGCGCCCCTCTTCTGCCCTGTGCTCTGGCTTCCGAGGGGACTGTGCTCCTCCTGTTTGCATACCCCATGTCTCCCCAGGACCCAGCTGGAGCTGCTCTTGTGTGCTCACATCCAGAATTCCGCAGAGCTGCAGCAGAGAGATGCCAGCCTGAACACAGGACTGTGCTCCTTCTGTTTGCATACCCCGTGTCTCCCCAGGACCCAGCTGGAGCTGCTTCTTGTGTGCTCACATCCAGACTTCTGCGGAGCTGCAGCAGAGAGATGCCAGCCTGAACACAGAGGCTGAAGTGCTACAATTCTTATTTTTTAGGGTGGTTGATGCAGTTCCACTTAGTGTGTTGACTCAGCTACAGATTTAGTACCTCTGATAGATAAGTGCCTGAGCTTGTATGTACAGGTACCTGTGTAGCTATAGTTTGGATTTATGCTTTTGAAAAAAATACCAATTTCATTTGACATGGTATTTGAGAAGACTTCAGGGAAAAAAACTAGCAGCTAAATCACACAAATAAATGCACTTGTTTTACATTAACACCTGAACTGTTACCCTTTTTATATCTCTAAGTTAAAAGATTAAGTTGTAGCTATGTTTATAAAAAGAAGTGAGCAATTTAACTGGATGGATTAGTACCAAAAGAATAACTTAGAAGGGAAACACCAGAGCTGGAAGCAAAAGTATCCTAAAAAGGAACCACTTACAGGTTATCTAAAGCTTGCAGTTTACCCCCAGGTAATGCAAGCTCCATCCAACTCAATCTACAAAATAAACTTACTGCAGGACTGAGTGATAAAAATATTTAGGGAAGCCCTTTTTGTCTGTTCTTGCTTGTGGGAAATCTATTTCCACTTTCCTGCTTCTTTGCCAGAGCCCTCCAGCTCCTCTGTCTGTGTTCAGTGCACAAGAAAGGATTCTTCTTTTCATTCTGATATAAGTATTTAACTTTAACTACATCATTAATGTTTATAGTAGAACTAAATCATATCAAAGGACTTCTGATGTCCTGGTGGGGTGGGTGTGTCTTGAGTTTCGTTTGAAAGGATGTGCATTAGAAGATACTGGCTTTTGATAATGCACCATCCCTGAAAGCATTACCAATGTGAACCAAAAAGACAGAATGTCTCCAAACACTAGAGCTCCGTACGCAACTGCTTCTTCTTTGGCATTAGAAGTATTGTAACAAAAGAATTAAGTGTTGGTGGGACTGAAGCGAGAGACTGTCTTCCAAGTTCTCTTATCCCAGTATTAAACTGGGAGTTTGCAAGACTCAAAAATTACGGTGGCTGTACACTGGAATAACCTCACAAACCCTCCATCCTGGCTCTGACCTACTCCGTACCAGCAGAAAGCAAGTACTCAGTGTGTCCAGAGTCAGTTCATCGGCACTGCTCTGACTACAGCTGGTTTTCAGAGAAGATCTCAGCGTAATTCTGCATCATTTATTTGAAATTACAGTTTGCTCCTTTGTTCCTAACAGTTATTTAAGAGCCTTTTAAATCAGCATTCACTTGGGAAGTTTCTCACTGCCTTTGTAGATAATTTTTGAAGCTCCCTCAGTTAAAGCATGAACTCCCTTCCTCTCCGGGGTCACCACTGTGACTGGCAGCGTGCTCTCTCCAGCACGGGCACTGCAGCAGCACAGATAAGCAGACTGTAGCCAAAGCTCCTCTCCTCTGAAATGTGTCTTCAATAACCAGACTATTTTCTCTTTAATTTTGTTGGCGTTTCTTACCTTCCTTCAGTTTTAAAGAGCACATCATATTCCTATTCCATTAGACTCAGATTTTAAGATGATCAGGAATCCCATCCAACTCAATAGAGCAGATATTGGGATGCTGAGATTTGTGGCTGTAAATTGCCTGACATTGTCCTGGTAAGAAAAATACTTTTCCCCACCAGCAGCAAAATATGTGTATATATATATATATATAGCGCATTCATGGCTCAGTGTGGAACAGAACCTTTGCTCTATATCCTCACTTTGTTTGAGGTGTAATTCCAAAATACTCCTGTCTATGGTCCTCACCATTTGTAGCAGAA